TTTTCATTTATTTGAAAAATGACCTATGCACAATTTTTTTAACATAAATATTTCCATTTGATGCATTGTACCAGATTTATCCAAAGGCTAATTTCTATGGTACAATATGACACACACGAATCACCCATAGTTAGCAGATCTACACAGGTGGAGCTGGGGAAGGTGGAGGGTTTCTGAAAGCACACAGCAAATACTGCCAGTGCCAAGTATCTGAGTTTAAGCAGCGAGCTGATTGGCATAGGAACCAATCAGCTGTGACCTATAGAGAATGATGTGATTGGAAGCAGATTGAGTTAAAGGGCCTATTAGCCTGCACCATCTAGAGTTTCATGACAGAACTTTGTATTTATGATAATTATAGAGAGCATTTACACCATAACCAAATAAATGCTTACTGAGTTTAGTTTAGTTTTAGCCTAAAAGTTCATTGTAGATGGTAAAGCGTTCCAGGGAGTAGTTGCTTTCACATAAAAAGCTGATAGTCCAAAAGCAGATGTCACAATGTCTTATGGATGATAATCTACTGGATTTTACAGTGTATTAAGAGCTAAAATAAAGTCACAGAGTACAGAAAGGGCCAAACCATTTAAAATGTTATATACAAGACAATAATAAAAATAAAAAGTCTAAAATTGAGGGTGGTTCATAGTAGACATTTGCAGACAGCCAATGAAGACCATTATGCAAATTTGTTACAAACTTCTAAAGGTTTGTGTGTTATTACTGACTGCTCATTTCAGGCAGCGCAGAATGATTTTTTTCCTAATAGGACAAAATAACTCAATGTATCATTGATCTTTGAAACTTTGCAGACTGTTTTTCAAAAACACAATTACACAATACATGAAAGGTGATTTAATAGGGGCACATTAAACTTGACCTCTCAGATAATCAACAGCACAAGTGAAATGATTTGAGGTACAGTACACTGTAAAAATTAATACGACTGAATATGTTAAATCTAATCAATAAAATTGAGGCAACAGATTACAAAGAGTATGAGTTCAGTGATTCAGGTCAAATAATTGTGAAATAATGATTATGTTAAAACACAACCAACACCATCACCTTTTCTATTTGTACATCTGGCTGTTATAATTTACGTATAACAGCCAAAGAACATCTAAAGTGAATGATTTAAGGGTCAAAAGCCCAACTAAAACACACACTGATCACCATAATGGTGACTTAAAAATTACGTTTTTCTCCTTCAGTGATTCTGCCTGTTATCATCAGGTGTCTTCAATGATGGCAATAATAAAAAAAGAGTTCTTAATTCATCTTTGACGTCAGTCTGTTATTCAGATATTTTTGTTTAGAAAAATGTGTAAATTTAACACATTTTAAATGGTTAACTTTTAAGTCATTCATTTGGTTAATTATTACTCAATTCAAATTTTTTTAATTAATTAATAATATTGATTGTAATCTGGTGCCTCAATTTTATTGATTAGATTTAACATATTCAGTCGTATTCATTTTTACAGTGCTGTAGTACGAATAATGTAAATAATCAGCCGGGACCGGTTGTCTGTGATGCTGTTTCGTAACGACCAAACTCTCTGAACGTGTCATAGTTGTAAGTAATGGCTGATGATGGTTTGTGTGTAATTGTCTCTGGGGTAATGGCTGGGGCGTGATGCAGTCATGAAATCAGACGCATTCCTGTGGTCTGAGGTTTGGGGGAAAAGAGAGAGACCCTCCACAGTAATCGCACTGCAGTCAACACAGTTTCAAACTTGAAGTGCACACTGTCTGTCCTAACAACAACACTAACATTTATCTCAGTCTTTCCAGCGCTGATACTCACGGCTATCAGTGGGGCCCTCGGGACCCCGGCTCCAGGGAAAGAGCTGTAAAGTCTGGCTTAGGCTTTTGATGAAAGTTTTGTTAGGCTTTGGTCTGCAGAACACTGTTCAGTTCAGTTTCTCGCAAGTCTCTTTGGTTATGATGTGTCTACCAGGAAGATAAATGCATGTAAATTAGATTCTGAGTAAAGTGTGGGTGGTGTTTGCCCATGGAAAACAGTCTGCATCAATGCTAGGGTGGTTGTTAGGATGTTGCCTTGTTGGCTTTTCCAAAGCGTTTCCAATTAGGGCTATGAGCAAAAATGATAATATCTGATAAATACTGTGATTTTTGCATAATTTGCATAATTTTGCCCAAAATTTACATAATCAAGGCGCACATAACAAAGCTCAATGAGGTTTGTTGTCGCGCATCAAGCAGGTTCAGTTGAGCTTCTGTTTGTAAAAGCCTAAATTCAATCTGTTCATCATATAAAGCGATCGAGAATTTGGACTAAACCGCTCAATTCATATGGATTAGTTTTACGATCTCCTTAGGAACTTTTTGAAGCATCAAAGTGGTAGTTGTGTAGCTGTCAATGGAGGGACAGAAATAGCTCATGTTTCCTATGAGTGAAAATCTTACGGGTTTGGAACGACATGAGAGTAAATTATGACAGAATTTTCTTTTTTGGATGTACTATCCATTTAATTTAATCCAACTAATGATAGGGTTAGAGGTTTGTCTAAACGTCTAACTCCTAAATATGAGCAATAATAGTGATGCTTGTGCTTTATTATTAATGCTATGAAAAATTATATTATGTATCATTATATACACACACATGCATGTATATATTTAAGAAAATGTGTTATTCATATATAAAATATTTATATTCATATATAATATAGATTATGTATTTATATATATATATATATATATATATATATACAGTATTTACGTGCAAATGTTTCTTAAATATATACATGCATACATATGTATTTATATATAAAATAATAATACACAGCAAACACACATATATTATGTAAACACAAACTTTTATTTTGGATGTGATTAATCGCAATTAATCTTTGCACAGCCCTAATATATATATATGTAATGTATATATGAAGAGTTCAGATGCAAAAGCCTCTAAGTGCCATTTGAAATTTTCTTCTAGAATGATCATTTTTATCAAGCTTGTATATTTAAGTTCAGTGATTTCACTTAAATGGCAATGATAATTACCTATTAATTGTTATTTAAGTGAAATTACTGAACTTAAATAAACAAGTTTGATAAAAATCATCATTAAAGAAGAAAATTTCAAATGGCATTTAGAGGCTTTTGCATCTGAACTCTTCATATGTGTGTATATGTATATGTATATATATATATATATATATATGTGTGTGTGTGTGTGTGTGTGTGTGTGTGTATATATATATATATATATATATATATATCGTGTGGTACTTCAAGTTCGCGCAAGCATGATAACTGTAATGATAACGACGATAAAGATAGAGTTCTAAAAATCGTCTAAAAATATAAAAGTCCACGATAAAGGCACAAAGAAAACAATATCGTTGGAATTACTTTCAGAATTACATTTTTCTTCCAGATGATAACTGATAAAACCCCTGACAGCCAATTAGAATCCACCCTATATATAATAAAATATATATACATGTACTAACTTGTATTCACAAAATGCACAATGATATGCCATGCATGAGTAACTGCAGGCAATAAAACATTATTGTTCACAGTTGTAATAATGGCATGGTATGTTATGCAACAGTTCTTGTTTTTACAATTGGAGTCTCAGTGATGCTGAGTGTTTTAAGAAAGAGCCTCTTTTATTCATCATTATTGAGAGTCCCACCCTGAGTGAGCTGGAATTCTCAGTCATTCCCGGCCACATCTGCTCTGGCATAGTTTGCATAGTTAGCATAGCAGTGATGCTAATATGACCTGTGGGTTCCCACAGGACTCGGAAAACCCAGAGGATTGTGCAGCTGCGCCCTGCATGAGAGCGTCAGGGTGCCGATTTGTATTGAATTTACAGTCGGTTCTCCGACATGTTTTAAACGTCGGTCAGTGAGTGCAAATGGGATCCCAGTTAAAACTCGAACATGCTTTTAAAAAAGCACTGAAAATCAGTGTGTCATGCTCCCAAGGCTGAATTTATTTGATCAAAAATACAGGAAAAAACAGTGAAATATTATTACAATTATATTTTCTATTTTATTATATTTTAAAGTGTAATTTATTCCTGTGATGCAAAGCTGAATTTTCAGCATCATTACTCCAGTCACATGATGCTCCTCAAGAAACATGTTTTATTATTATCCAGGAAAACAGTTGTGCTGCTTGATATAACAAAAGTATTCTCAATTAATCAATTGAATGTGTCCTTTCTGAATAAAATGATTAAATTATTTTCTTTTTTTAAAAGCGGACCTCAAATTTTTTGTAATGGTTAATATTTTGGTTTACAAAAGGTTTCAATGTGTACACTTTCATGTATTTCTCTTTCACTTCTTGTGACCGTTATATTGACTGGAACATTAGTAGATGTTGCATTACTGTTAGAGCCCGACCGATAAAGGATTTTGAAGGCCGATACCGATACAAATATTTTGGGGTTTTAAAATCCGATATTCCGATATATCGGCTGATATTTTTTATTTTTTGTTAAATATTGTTGGATTTCACACACGTGTAAAAGAAAAGCTAACTTTTCTGCACAAGATACGTTTGATACTTTTTCTCTATATCTAAATGTTCACTCCTCGCAAGTATAACTTATATTTTACAATGCAGGGACTGTAACTAAAGATATGCTAGCTATAAATACATTAATCATTACTTTATTCAGGCAGAAAAAGTTCATTGTGGTTTCCAAGCTCATTAATGTTAACGTTAGCGGCCTTCCACTGATGATAGTGGCATTGTGGTTAGCTAGTCTATGATGAGCCATAATTTAGCAATAGATGACATCATACTACAAATTGTAAAACATACATTTTCAATATAACAGGCCAAGGAGAGATGATTGAAGCGTGTTTCGTCCGTTTTTATTTTTATTTTTTAAATATTCATTTATCGGCCATTATAACTGCCGATACCGATATTTTGGAAAATGCCTAATATCGGCCGATAATATCGGTCTGGCTCTAATTAGTGTTGTTTGTGTTCTTCAGAGATGTAGTCTGCACTCCGGTCTGTTGGCAGACTCTGAGGTCTCACTATGCTGCTTTATCTGCTGCTGGCCATCTTACAAACCAACATCTATGGCCAGATAGACCCAGGTAATGTTACATGCACACCTACACAAACATTCATACAGACAGGACCAAAACATTGACTTTCTCATGGTGTCCTTCAGCTCACTGTCGTTACCCTCTCGGTATGGAGGACGGGAGGATCAAAAACGACGACATCACTGCCTCCAGCCAGTGGTATGAAACCACGGGCCCTCAGTATGCAAGGTAATATGACAGACTACACTGAAGTGTAGTAGTCGATATGGCTGTAAGATATATCAAAGTAAAATCAATATGGCCTAGTGCGATTGTCATAGAGAGCCTAAGTCCCTCCCCTTCCGGTCGACCACCATGGGACCTTATTTCGGAAAAATATTGTATGGTAGTCAATGGCGAGAGACAACAAATATTTTGATCTGGTTTGAATTGTGCCCTGAATTACACACATGATGTTTGTCAATTTAAAAAATAAATTTTAAAGTAAAGAAAGTCGCCGTTTGCTGTAAAACCGTTGAGGTATAAGACTGTGAAAATACGTAATTATAAAGACTACAAACCCAAAGGCGCACATTTTCTCTCAATGAATGAAGCTAACTTTACTGAGGCTAATGTCTGTCATTGTTTCTATAGTCTTGCGTTATAAACTTACCGTTACACCGTCATGCCTGGGTGTTTTGTACCAGACTGCACACACACGAGCAGAGGATCTCGCCCTGTTTCGCTTCCCGGGAGATGTAGTTCATTGAGCGATTTTCACATAAAACTAAAGGTTACTCTTCTGTTTTATAACAAACGGCGACGTTTTTGATTTTCAGAATTATTTTTTAATTTGACAAACATCATGTGTAATTCAGGGCATAGTTCTGACGGAATAAAAAGATAAGTTATCTCTCGGTAGCCATTGACTACCACACATATTTTTTCCGAAATAAGGTCCCATGAGCCGGAAGTGGAGGGGCGGGACTTAGGCTCTCTATATCGTGAAGGCTGCAATTTAAAGGGTAATTAAACCCTAAACCAACTTTTTTTAGTTAATGATCTGTAAGAATGGGGCTTTTAAAAGCTGATCATTGATTTAAGTAACTTTTTTAACATTTGGATAAAAAGTGTTTTATTTCTACAATATATGGTGTAAAAAATGTCTTAGTGCTGCCCTCTTCAGGTTGAACGGTGGCTACTGCAGTTGAATTTTCCTATTGGATGTTCCACACTTCGGTTTCAGCTCACCACGCCCTTGGTACGAGCGACCACACACTCGGCAGTTTAAAAACCATCTTATTTCGTCAAAACCACTGCGAGTCAAGAGTGGGAATTACAAGTTTTGAAAACGATCAGGATAGGAGAGTATTGTAGCATCTTTAGCATAGCATTTATATAGTTATTTATATAGTTATTTAGTTAGTTAGTAAGTAGCATAGTACAGTTTGGATAACTTCAAGTTAGCATAGATTTATCAGTGTTTAGTACCGTGGTCAGTAGGGATGCACGATATATCGGCCACATTATCGGTATCGGCCGATAAATGATCATTTTTAATGTTATCATTATCGGCCCAACAGGAACATTTAGCCGATATCTAAAAGCCGATAACTAATGTATTATTTCCTTCAGCTGAGGCACTTTAGATGTGCACTGTTCAACATGATGCTTTTAAATTGCTTGAAATATGATTGAAATCACTTTAAAAAAGGAAAATCCAGTTAAAGTGCAAAATGTGCAGCGCAAGTCTTGTCATATCGGCTACACAATATTAAAATAAGAACATCATAATTGTGTTTGTATCTTGACTTTTAATGAGGAGAATTTTTTTTATAATCAGGCTTTAAAAATTGTCAAAAAAAATTTGAATTTAGATTTATCGGCCAATATATCGGTTATCGGCTTTCAAATATAAAGAATTATCGGTTATCGGTATCGACCAAAATTGTCATATCGGTGCATCCCTAGTCGTCAGGATGGTTACAGGTTAACGTAACGGTGCAGAATTTCTCAAATAACATTTATTTACCTAATAAAGTTTACCTCATAAAATACTATGAACAATGACAGATGTTGATTTTTGGCAAGGAAAAAGCCATTTGTTTGCTTGTGATAAATAAACATGAATGAATCAAGAGAGATACGTACGCTTGTGTGTCTGTGTTTATCTGCTAACGTTACAGCCGCGTCTCCGGTTTCCGCCATTTTCAAATATAACGGCTATCTAACTCCTCTCCCGTGGCATCATGGGATAGTAAAGTGTCCATCGTATGCGCATTTCAGAATCTCGCCGGAAGTAGTAGGTCATCCAGGTACTTTTCGCCCACTGTTTTTTGAATTCTATGATTTCGGACATACTACTCTGCTCGCGTACTGTTTTTTGCATACTACATAGTAGGAAAGTATTCGATTTCGATATCACTTGCAATCACCAATAAAATCACAGAACTCACTCTAGAATGATTCATTCTTTCCAAATCGAACTACTCGAGTCATTTGGTGAAACTTCACATCACAATATTTTCTCGAATATTGTGCAGCTCTAGTAGTAAATATAGCTGTGGAGTGTTTTTATAGTGCATCAAGCTCATTTATTGCTAAAGATTAAGGTAAAATTAGGTTTCTTTGTGATCTGACCTGTTTAAATAAAGCTCCAGGCCTCTTAGAGTGCGTAATGACCGTTTATCACTTGCATCTGTGTGTTGTTGCGTCAGGTTAAACCGTGAGGAAGGGGACGGCGCCTGGTGTCCTGCTGGTCAACTGCAACCCTCAGATGTTCAGTATCTTCAGATTGACCTTCGTCAGCTCATCTTCCTCACCGTGGTTGCTACGCAGGGTCGCTATGCTCGCAGCTCCGGCAACGAGTATGCACGCAAGTACCGTCTGGAGTACAGTCGCGATGGACGTCGCTGGATCTCCTGGAGAAACCGCCTTGGCATTGAGGTAGGATGTGTTTTATAGAGACTTTATATGAGGGACTATATAATCCGATTTTATATAAATGACCTGAATGAACAGATGTTTTGGTGCTAAACTAATATTAGCAAATGTATAAGTTAAATCAGAAAGCAATTATGCTGTACACTGCAGTTAGGGTCGTAAGATTTTTAAAAAGTTTTGAAAAAAGTCACTTCTGCTCATTGCATTCATTTGATGTAAAATACAGTAAATTGCATTTAAATTTTGAACAACTTTTTTGTATTCTAATGTTTTAAAATGCAATTTATTCCTGTGATAACAAAGCTGAATTTTCAGAGGCCATTATTTGGGGAAACCATGATGCATTTTTTCCATTATTTTTTCCATTATTCCAAAAGGCCAACCACTACATGCATTCAGTTTATTTCTACTATTTATTAGTAATGATTTACACAGTTTGTTTACTACTTACTATATACCTGAGCATTCACTATTGTGCAATATAGCATACAGAAGGTGATGGACATTTTCGGGGGAAAGAAGTGCTGCATTTTATCATTTAAACATGTGACTTTT